ACCACACATTCAGGGTCGTCATAAAAACACTCTGTTCAAAGTTATCACCACACCACACATTCAGGGTCGTCATAAAAACGTTCTGTCCAACAATTATTATTGTATCAGGCATTTATGTCTTCATACAGACATTCTGTCCAACAAATATTACCTTATCGGGCATTCTGGGTCGTCATAAAGACGTTGTATCCAACAGTTATCACCACACCAGACATTCTGGGTCGTAATAAAGACGTTGTATCCAACAGTTATCACCACATCAGACATTATGAGCCGTCATAAAGACGTTGTATCCAACAGTTATCACCGCGCTAGACATTCAGTTCGTCATAAAGACGTTGTATCCCACAGTTATCACCACACCAGACATTCTGAGCCGTCATAAAGATGTTGTATCCAACAGTTATCACCGCGCCAGACATTCTGAGCCGTCATAAAGACGTTGTATCCAACAGTTATCACCGCGCCAGACATTTAGGTCGTCATGGAGAAGTTCTGTCGACTGGTGTCATGGAACCATAATAGTTCATAGTGACTGTTCACATAAAACATTCAGTGAGATTTCTTATTCACTAGAAACGTGGTAAGAGCAGTTCTGAAGTTTCTGTGTTTGAAGAACAAAGGTTCAGAGTAGTCACCAAAAAAAAAAAAAAGTTTTAGAACTGATTGTCTCAGTTGATTGTTGAAATTAATCGAATCATTGTGGGTAAGTTTATGTCTTTTAACACTTATATCAAGTTTAAGTTTCAATTCTCCTCCACTACTTCTGCCGCCCTAAAGACCGTTCACATATGAAAGCTAGAACCTACCTAACATTATGTTCGTCACTAACTCTGCCGCCCTAAAGACCGTTCACATATGAGAGCTAGAACCTACCTTACATTATGTTCGTCACTAACTCTGCCGCCCTAAAGACCGTTCACATATGAAAGCTAGAACCTACCTTACATTATGTTCGTCACTAACTCTGCCGCCCTAAAGATCGTTCACATATGAAATCTAGAACCTACCTTGCATTATGTTCGTCACTAACTCTGCCGCCCTAAAGATCGTTCACATATGAAAGCTAGAACCTACCTTACATTATGTTCGTCACTAACTCTGCCGCCCTAAAGATCTTTCACATATGAAATCTAGAACCTACCTTGCATTATGTTCGTCACTAACTCTGCCACCCTAAAGACCGTTCATATATGAACGCTAGAACCTACCTTACATTATGTTCGTGTCACAATAGATGTTCTTTATCCAATATTATTTCTCTAGCCTTGTTCGTTCAGAACAGTAATAGCCACTCATTATTGAATCGTTCAAAATAGTAATAGCACTCATTATTGAGTCGTTCAAAATAGTAATAGCACTCATTATTGAGTCGTTCAAAATAGTAATAGCCACTCATTATTGAGTCGTTCAAAATAGTAATAGCACTCATTATTGAGTCGTTCAAAACAGTAATAGTCACTCATTACTGAGCCGTTCACAACAGTAATAGCCACTCATTATTGAGCCGTTCACAACAGTAATAGTCACTCATTATTGAGTCGTTCAAAATAGTAATAGCCACTCATTATTGAGTCGTTCACAACAGTAATAGTCACTCATTATTGAGTCGTTCAAAATAGTAATAGCCACTCATTATTGAGTCGTTCAAAATAGTAATAGCCACTCATTATTGAGTCGTTCAAAATAGTAATAGCCACTCAATATTGAGTCGTTCACAACAGTAATAGTCACTCATTATTGAGTCGTTCAAAATAGTAATAGCCACTCATTATTGAGTCGTTCAAAATAGTAATAGCCACTCATTATTGAGCCGTTTACAACAGTAATAGTCACTCATTATTGAGTCGTTCAAAATAGTAATAGCCACTCATTATTGAGTCGTTCAAAATAGTAATAGCCACTCATTATTGAGTCGTTCACAACAGTAACAGTCACTCATTACTGAGCCGTTCACAACAGTAATAGCCACTCATTATTGAGTCGTTCACAACAGTGATAGTCACTCATTATTGAGCCGTTCACAACAGTAATATCCACTCATTATTAAGTGATACAAGCAACTCACTGATAGCATTTGTTCTTTAATCCTTCGGTTGCCATAACAACCAATTTCACAATCCACTCTCTCATCTGATTAAGAGCTGCGATGTGGAGAAGCCGTCTTTCTAGTAAAACCGCTTTAGAACCTTTCTCGAAGAAACGATCATATAATTGTATTTATCTATCTGTCCTCAGTCGACCTGAAAGTTTTATGATATTATCTTCCCTGTTAGTTAGTTTGTAACTTTACTTATTTTTGTCTCTACACCTATCGTAATGTCGTTTCCCTCGTGGCGTTCTTCACATCTAAATCTGATGTTGGGGAGACACAAGAGTGAAGTTGAGTTCGGCGCCATCCCCCATCCCCAATTGACGTTAACATGTCAGGTGGAAATGCATTTCTTTGTTGTTGTGCGGTGATGCAATGCCTAATACGACATCGTAATACCCTACTCATAAATACGGTTGATCTCATTCTGTTCTGAGTAATTACTAAACATTTTATACCGTACCGTACCCATCATTCTAAACATTTTATACCGTACCATACCCATCATTCTAAACATTTTATACCGTACCATACCCATCATTCTAAACATTTTATACCGTACCGTACCCATCATTCTAAACATTTTATACCGTACCATACCCATCATTCTAAACATTTTATACCGTACCACATCCATCATTCTAAACATTTTATACCGTACCATACCCATCATTCTAAACATTTTATACCGTACCGTACCCATCATTCTAAACATTTTATACCGTACCATACCCATCATTCTAAACATTTTATACCGTACCACATCCATCATTCTAAACATTTTATATATGTTCGTACTGAATAGTTCTGCCTATTATACAACTTTGCGCTTAAATAAAAACCAATCCTAAAATAAACCTTTAATAATACGATAAAATTATATTGATTTAAATATTTACAAGCAAACTAATACAATAAGTTTCAGGCCGAATAAGTTAAGCCTAATCACAATCTTCTTTTGACTAAAAGATACAATATGGCGATTCATCTGTTTAATATTAAGTTTTGTTTTATACTCTTGGTATATTAAATAATTATATTATTACTTACTTGGTTAATTTTCATTCCGATGAGATCGTATCTTGCTTTGATCAGAAGTGTTGATAAATTCATTATCGCTTTCGAAATCTACAATTAATAAATATACATGAATTCTTGTTTACCATAAGAAACTAACACCTTATATTTCTTTGATATAAGTGAATTTATTATTTAAATAATTTGAGTCTAATTTTAAATATTTAGATCGTTTTGTTTCCATAAGAGACTAACACGCGAAATTCAACCCAAAACAAACAAACCAATCTTTATAGAAACAGAAAATAAAATCGTGTTTACGAATGAGATATTAATTAGAAACAAGTTACAAAAAAGCTGTCACTTTAAATAACAACATAAGTTACAAGAAAGCTGTCACTTCAAGAAACAACACAAGACAGCAGTCACTTCAAGAAACAACACAAGTTACAAGAAAGCTGTCACTTTAAATAACAACATAAGTTACAAGAAAGCTGTCACTTCAAGAAACAACACAAGTTACAAGGAAGCTGTCACTTCAAATAACAACATAAGTTACAAGAAAGCTGTCACTTTAAGAAACAACATAAGTTACAAGAATGATGTCACTTTAAGAAACAACACAAGTTAGAAGAAAGCTGTCACTTCAAGAAACAACACAAGTTTAAAGAAATCTGTCACTTCAAGAAATAACACAAGTTACAAGAAAGCTGTCAGTTTAAGAAACAACACAAGTTACAAGAATGATGTCACTTTAAGAAACAACACAAGTTACAAGAATGATGTCACTTTAAGAAACAACACAAGTTACAAGAATGCTGTCACTTCAAGAAACAACACAAGTTACAAGAATGATGTCACTTTAAGAAACAACACAAGTTACAAGAATGCTGTCACTTCAAGAAACAACACAAGTTACAAGAATGATGTCACTTTAAGAAACAACACAAGTTACAAGAATGCTGTCACTTCAAGAAACAACACAAGTTACAAGAATG